AAACCCAGAAAAAGAAAAAAAAGAAGGTGTGTTATTACCCTTCTTTGGTGGGATCAGCCTGATCCCTCTTCTACTTTCCTGGGTCGTGGTGTGGTATAGATTTTTGTATGTCTTCGTTTCCCCTCTTCTCAGCCCTGACCTAGAGAATTAAGAGTATTTTTGTCCTTGGTTCCCCAAACAGTACCACAAGGAAATTTGACAGTCTTCTCCCTCTTTTTTCCTTGAATATAGGCCTCCAAGACTGCAGAGAATGCCACCAGTGGAGAAACATTAGAAGAGAATGAAGCTGGAGACTGAGGTGGGGCCCATCTCCCCAGCTTGCCGCTCCTGCCTCATCCCCTTTCCACCACAGCCCAGGCTCTGAAGTGCAGTTCGTCTTCACCCAGGACCGCCAGCAGAGCAGGGTGTCTCCCTGCCCCCCCATCCCAGTCTCCCAACCCAACCCCTTCCAACAACAACCAGCTCCAACTGACTCTGGTCTTGGGAGGCCAAGCTTCCCAGCCACTGAAGACTACTTTAACTAGAAAAGAGAAATTCAGTAATAAAATCAGGAGTCAAAATCCATCGTCTTCAAGCCCCTCTTTCTAGCCTTTTTCTACCACTCTCTGCTTGGTCGAGGTTTATGGCCCTACAACAGAACAGGGAGGAGGCTAAAGGAGCCACCACCACTAAAAATTCAGCTGAAATTTTTTTATACACTCTGGTATCAGCATTTTCCCATCTGTTGGGGCTTGTTCCTCTTCCCACTCTTCCCAAGTATTTTATCTGGCCTCAAAGTAGAGAGGAACTGTTCTTCAGATTTGTTTTTATTCACGTGGTAGAGTCCTTTTTTGATCCAGGCTGTCTGGTCAGGCCGCTCCCTTTTTTAGGAGCTGGAGCCTGCACTTAACAAGGGATTCTCATCTACGAAATGATCCTCATTTGTAAGTCTTTTTAGTCATTTTTGTTCTGCAGGACTTTTTACAGCTCTCCCCCTCCTCCCCAAAGCTGTAAAGGAGGAACTTACTTCAACCAGTCCATTTCTTTGGAGTCACTGGGGTCTTCCCTTGCTCCATCTTAAAAACCTGAGCTGGAAGCTCAACTGTGGTTTTGTTCTTTTTTGAAGTATTTTGATCTCCCTCCCTTGAGAGAAAGACCAGAAACCAGAGGAGCAGACTGAAGAGACAACTCCTGGCTTTCTAAAGCTATGGACTTGAATTGGGTGAATTGCTAGGGGTTTGGAGAGAAAGGTGACGAATTTCATTCAGTACCTCTGGCATGCTGTCATGCTGTCCCAGGGAACCAGGGCTCCTGCTAACTTATGAGGTTTTTAAACATTGAAAATGACATGGTGTTAAAATAAATTTGGATTTGCTCATAATCATGTGCCTTTGCTGCTCTTATTTGGTGCAGGTGGGTTAGTTGAAGTGATCATTTGGAGTTGTTTTTCCATGAGCTATATTCTCTCTAAAACAAGGAATATTTATTTCCCCAACCCAAAGAGAAATCCTAGACAGTAAATTTTCTATGGGGGCTTGATTTAATTTTCTAAAGTAAAAACATCAACCTTGCTGCTGACATTTTGTTCAGGACTAACACATTTAATGTGTACTGTGAAATACACAGGTCTGTTCAGAAGATACCCAGCCATGTAATACAGAAAACACATTTATTGAAGAAGACACAAGAAACCTACAAAGGACAATGAGACCTCTGTCCCCTTCAAAGTTGGCACCTTGGGACCTCATACACTTCCAGTTGCCATCAGTTGCCCTGTCATATTTTCCTGAATCTCAATGATGGTCTGAAATCTCTTCCCTTTCAAAGGTGATTTTACTTTTAGGAAAAGCCAGCAGTTGCAGGGTGCCAAATCTGGGCTGTAGGGGGGCGTTGAGTCACCTGCGTGACTTGATGTTTCTCCAAAATACCCTGCACCATAGGTGATGCATGAGCAGGCATGTTGTCCTTAAGAAGCTACTAATCACCAGTTGCCCATAGCTGTAGCCTTCTGAATCCTCTGAATGGTTTTGGCAGAGGAATGTTCAAGCTTAACACAAAATTTAATACATATTCATAGCTCCACCTGCTCTACCAGTCAGTTTGAATGCTAGGGCCACGCGATACACATGCTCACTCAAAGGTGTCTACCACCCCTACTGACTAGTACAATGAAGTTGTCACTGTTCACACATGCACATTCCAGTCCATGTTCCTTGGCTGCCAGGTTATATTGATGTCTTGCAAACCACTCTTGTTATATTAACAATGGGTGGACTTTTCCTACACAGACCTCGTAAAACTCTGCAAGTGTTTATCTTGACTTAGGAAGCCAGGAAGGATGCCTTTAGTGTTATGATATTTTTCTGGGTCAGCCTAAAATAATTTACTAGATTTGAGCATCTTACATATGAGGCATGCTAGAAATACCACAGTGAAGAAACAGCTCTTCATAAGAGCTTATAGACTGGGCAATCAACAGGTAAAAATACTAGTTGACTTGATAATTAAATAATTCTGCTATGGCTTTCACTTTTATCTTCAAAAACTTTATTATGATGATGAAAACACTAGAACTACTTAAACATTTAATACAAGGGTCCCAAGTTTTAAAAACCTTGTTTTAATAGAGTTAAAAGAGTGATGTGTTACTGCATAAGTTACAAAGGGAAACCACCAAAAAAGGAGGGATTACAAATCAGTGAGTGAGGTGAAGTCTGGTTAAGGATTCCTTTCCATTCTTCACAACTAACTGTAGCCAAATCTTTACTTACCTGTTTACCAGGTGCTTCTGACCTGTCATACCCTGATACTAGTAAGTTCTTTATCATACCAAATACCATTCTTGGTTCTAGATAAGATAGCCATCTTCCCCTCTTCATTGGTAGGGAAAATCACTGAATCACTTTCTGAACAAGATGCACTGTGGCAAACAATCTAATTACATTCTGCCTCAGGCAAAGGGGAAGATCACTGCTGGCTAGGAAAGTTTATCTTGACAATCCAATTTCACATACCCTCCCATGTCCTGGAACCTTAAGACCTCTGGATGTTCTGAAACAGTCTCCCTGCGGCAATTTAGTGTAAAAAATAAGGCAAAGCAGTAAACAAATTAGGAATTTTTCCACAGTACGCACCTATTCATAATAAAATGGAGGGTGTCGCCAGGAAACTGCAACTCCCATAAAGCAATGAGAGGGAAGGCGGAAGTCGCTATCCTTTCCTCGCCTACTCCTCCAGGTGTCATATTGGAAATAGGTGCTCATGTTTAAGTAACACAGTGCCCTCATAACAAAACTGGGGATGGGGAATTTTGTAACTGAAATTCACAACACACTTTTCCAAGAAAAGTAAATCACTCACGTGTTATGTGTGGGACCGGAAGCCATTGTTACTCCCCTGGAGGTAGGGCCAAGCTGCGGAAGTGACGACAATGAACGCTCCCTTAAATACCCGTAGGCGGGCAATTGGCCTTCTCTCGGCCTTAACGCCATCTTCTTAGGTGCGTGATGTTTGTGGCCCGTGTGTGGATTCCGCGTACAATCCATTAACATCTAGTGTCTGCACTTACCATCATCACAGCAAACTAACTGTAGCCTTTTTCTTTTTACCCCTAGAAACCTCTGCGCCATGAGAGCCAAGGTAAGCAGTCTCCGACTGTAAGCTGAGCTGTAGGAGTTGAGGATTGGGGGTGGAGACCCAGGCAAGGGAAGTCCGCCATGGTTTCTGAACTGCTGGGTTCTCAAAATCGTACAAAAGCTAGTGATAGAGGAAGGATAACGTGGGGAGACGCAGAAAAGGTAGTTGGGTAAGTGTTGTGCGGAGAGAAGAGCGCACGCGGATTTCGGGGATTACTTGCGGGGGGGAGGCGGTTAGGAGGCTTTATTGATGTGATTACTGTGACTAAGCCCTCATATTTGGTCGACAACCTGCCTGGTTCTAACTACTATTCTCCACATCCCTATTTAAAGTTATCACTAAAACCAATGGTCTTTTTATTCTTTGTTTCTGGTTATGATCTGTTGGCAGTGGAGGAAGAAGCGAATGCGCAGGTATGTTAACCATTGCGGGCACCGGGGGCGGGAAATGAATGGAGTATGCCTTGGACGAAACTTCGGAGGAACATTTGGTTTAGAAATCGAAAGGAATAGGAGATTTAAAATGTTTTGAGCATTGAATTGTCAGGCCAAAATGTAGTGCTTGAACATTTCACAACTTTGTATTGTGCACACATTAAGGTGGACTACGCTGGCTTGAAGGAAGGGGGTGTATTCCTTTGTCTGCTTTTCAGGCTGAAGCGCAAAAGAAGAAAGATGAGGCAGAGGTCCAAGTAAACTGCTAGCTTGTGTACCCATGGAAGCCACAGGAGCAGAAATAAGGGAAGCCAGAGGCCAGGGACACTGGTACAAATTGTTCGACTGCATGCCTGCTATCGAGAACTTGTCGATGGATGTAGAACATAAAGTCTGATCTCCGCGACCACCTTTTGAGAGACCCACGCTGCTTTTACAACAATAGTCCCTTTTGGTCCTTTGCCCTGGACCTGTGACATTCTGGACTGGTTCTGTTATCATTTGTGGCTGAGTGTGTACAATAAATCATTTCTTCTTAGCTGAAGAAAACTGTCTGTTTTGTGGTTTTTATGGTTCCATTGGCTGGGTATTCTATCAGTACAGTGGGCCCTGTTACTACCCAATGCTGTAGATTGTGAAGTTACAAAGCCTACTCCAGGGGTGTGGACCCTGCCCCTACCCCACATTTGCTCCCCGGCCCTCAGACTAGTGGAAGTCTGGGGAACCAGGTGGTTCGCCAACTAGGCAAACAGTTATGCCCGCTCCCTTGTCTTCCCGGGCTACATTTGTGAGTCGCTTTCTCAGGTTTACGTTGTGTTGGGTTGTCATGGTGACTCGCAAAGCTTGCTGGGAACTTCCTGCGTCTAGTACAGCAAGTATTAACACCATAGAGTATAGTTCCGGGTCTGGTGGCTAGAGCGGCACTTCTTCCGCAGGAAGCGGAAGGGCTATTGGGCAGGCGGCTCTTTGTCGAAGCTAGAGGACCGGCAGGCGGCAGCAGCAACTACGGCGGCGGCGGCAGGTGAGGGAGGCGGGAGACTTAGGTGGAGGCCGCGCCCGGAGGGGAGGAGTCGGGCCGGCCCAGTGGCCGAACTCGGCTGGGCTACACAAGGCCCCCCAGGACTGAGCTGGCTCTTCTTCGTGACCCATGGCCCAGCCGCATTTCTAACTGACCTCGCTTCGCGAGCAAACGCCAGCTCCGTGACGTCACAGCCCTGCTCATCCACCACCCCCCCTCAGCTTGATGTCACCTGGAGTCCCTCTCCCCGCTTCACTTCGTGCTCCCTTAGTGTCCTGTTCACCTAGCCCAGGGCTGAGCTCTGGTAGCACTGTACAGAACCTGCCAAGCTAGAAGATTTGCTGCGAGAAACTCCTAGGACTTTTTTTTTTTCTTCGCAAACTCGGGTGTCACGAAGCGTCATAATCACCGCCCCCAAGTCTAGTCTGCCATTCCACTGCACTGCCAGTCGCTGCCTTTGCACGGCTCCCCATTTGGAGTCCTAACCCCAACCCTAGACCAGTCTGTGATACCCACATCCTCTTTCATCTTGAGGCAGGGCTTCCCCTCACCCTTTGTTCACTCCTCTGGTTATCCAACCCATCCTGGTAGGCTCTCCAAATTAGTTATGTTTTTTACTCTTCTTACAACTTCTCCCTTTGCCAGGTGAAGTTTAGTTGAAACCCTGAGGAAATCTTGATGTGCCCAGAGCTCTTGCCGTTTTGTCATACCTTTTTCGTGTAACAGTCACCCCATAGTCCTCCATTCTTACCCTTTCTCACACCCAAGTATCTGTTTTTTTCCTGTTCAGAACCCAGCAGTGATGTGGAGGTGGAGACCCACAGGAGCCCCGGACTTCACCTGAGCTACCTCAGGTATCGAACAATCCTGGGAGAGTTGGGTGGGGCGGAATACGGTATCAGATTTTCTGCACCTGGTGGGACTTGCAGTGTGGGGCAGGCTTGGACAGAGGGCATTTATTTTTCACCAGGTCACTTCCCTTTTAGTAAAAGTTTATATCTTCTCTTTTATCACTTTTTCTTGAGTGTTTCTATTTTTCTGGGATTACCTCCCTTTGGAGGAAGAGGACTCTCCGTTTTAAAAGATTCTCTTGTAACTCTGGCCTCTGGTCAGTTCATTTTAGCTAGATCTGAAGGCAAAGACAACGGGTGGGTGTTTAGAGATCAAGGCCCGAGAAATTGGAGTTTCCCTTACACTCAAGGAGAAACGATATGAAGTTTTCCTATTTGAACAGCAGGGGGAGCTTGAACACTGCCTAGGAAAGGTTTACCAGGTCAGACACGTGGTAGCTGGGACTCCAATCTTGTAGGGGGTGGGGTGAGGGCGGGCTAGAACCAGGGCAGTTGACTGACATTCCAGAGCTCTCTTGGGAAAGATGAGACTTAAAAAGCTTTTATAGAGTCTATAAATAAAGAAGATCTTTATGGGTGAGGAATGGTGTGGTTTGATGTCAGTGGTATCTTTTCATGGAGTGTTAGGAGGGGATAGAATGGGCAAAGTAAGGTCATTTGTTCCTCTGAAATTAACTCCTTCCTCCCGCCTTCATCATGAAACACATGGTTTTGTCCTTTGGAAGTCTCTAAGTGGAAGTTCCAGCTGTAGTACTTTTCCCCTGAAATGGAGGGGAAGGGGCTGACAACTGGGGTTGATTGTGGTGTTGAGTTGGCAGGGAATACTAAAATATGACAGGTTTAGGGACTGCCCTCAAGCTAGTGACACAAGTCTCTTCACTCAGGGTTTCCTGGGGTCTAGCAATATGATACTTTATAGTATCCCATTATCTACAGCTCTAGTAGCTTACCGGCCCGTCTTGGCCAAGATTCCCAGTCTCCTAGCCTATTCATATACTGCTAGTTTTAATTTCACTTCCACAACTTTAATAAGGTCCGTTCAGAAAGGAAAGTAAAATCCAGTGCTACAGTATCCCTGCCCCCTCCTTGGCCTGCAGTCACTAGTGCGATGAGATGGCTTTGCCCCAGCTCCTTCCCTTCTCCATTAGCCAGGCAAGTGTGAATCATTCTGACCCAGACCAGGTGCACAAGGGCCTGGGCGGGACTTCTGACAAGCCAGCCAGTCTGGGCAGAATTCTCATTTCTTAGGTTCTCCATCTCCAAAGCTGTTACCCCACTGGCCTGCCTCTTGCTGGACTGCCTATCCTAAAGTCGGGAAGAGTGTGGCCTCTGGAGGACTCTTGTTTGACACAGTTCTCCTCTTTCCTAGTGGTCACCAAGGGTGGCAAGAAAAGGAAGAAAGCCCTGAGTTGGGTGGGACCAGGATGCCTGACCGGGACAGCTATGCCAACGGCACTGGGAGCAGCGGTGGAGGCCCTGGAAACGGTGGCAGCGAGGAGGCCAGTGGGACAGGGGCAGGCAGTGGCGGGGCCAGCTCAGATGCCATCTGTAGAGACTTCCTGAGGAATGTGTGCAAGCGAGGCAAGCGTTGCCGATATCGCCATCCAGACATGAGTGAGGTATCCAACTTGGGGGTGAGCAAAAATGAGTTCATCTTCTGCCATGACTTCCAGAACAAGGAGTGTAGTCGCCCAAACTGCCGATTCATCCATGGCTCCAAGGAGGATGAGGATGGCTATAAGAAGACAGGAGAGCTTCCCCCTAGGCTGAGGCAGAAAGTTGCAGCAGGCCTGGGCCTTTCTCCGGCTGACCTACCAAATGGCAAGGAGGAGGTTCCTATCTGCCGGGACTTTCTCAAAGGTGACTGCCAGAGAGGAGCAAAGTGCAAGTTCCGTCACCTACAACGGGATTTTGAATTTGATACTCGGGGTGGAGGAGGCACTGGTGGTGGGGGCTCAACAGGCCCAGTCCCCCCAGGACGACGTCATGATCTCTATGATATCTATGACCTCCCTGACAGGGGCTTTGAGGACCATGAGCCCGTCCCCAAGCGCCGGCGAGGTGGATGCTGCCCCCCAGATGGCCCCCATTTTGAATCATATGACTATAGCCTGGCTCCACCCCGAGGGGTAGAGTGCAGACTGCTAGAGGAGGAGAATGCCATGCTCAGGAAGCGGGTAGAGGAGCTAAAGAAGCAGGTCAGCAACCTTCTGGCTACCAATGAGGTACTCCTGGAACAAAATGCCCAGTTCCGCAATCAGGCCAAGGTCATGACCCTGAGCTCCACTGCACCAGCAACTGAGCAGACTCTGGCCCCCACTGTGGGTACTGTTGCCACTTTTAACCATGGCATTGCCCAGACTCATACTACGCTCAGTAGCCAGGCTCTACAGCCTCGGCCTGTGTCTCAGCAAGAACTGGTGGCCCCTGCTGGAGCTCCAGCTGCTCCCCCAACTAATGCTGCACCTCCTGCTGCTCCACCACCCCCACCCCCACACTTGAACCCAGAGATTACACCACTATCAGCTGCTCTGGCTCAAACAATTGCCCAGGGGATGGCACCCCCACCTGTCTCCATGGCTCCTGTGGCTGTATCTGTGGCCCCTGTGGCCCCTGTGGCTGTATCGATGGCCCAACCCTTGGCAGGAATCACAATGAGCCACACCACTACTCCCATGGTGACTTACCCCATCGCTTCCCAGAGCATGCGTATTACAGCCATGCCACACTGATGGGGCTACTGGACACTCCCCTGGTATAGCCTCCCAGGGCTGGGATCCAGGGTCCTTACCCACCCACTTGCCTAGCCATCCCAGGCCCTGTCTCAAGGGCTCATTCAAAAACTAGAACAAGAGACTGCAAAGGAGTTTGCTTCTGAGAAGGGGTTGTGCTGGTGGGTTTTCTCTCACCTCCTTTCGATGAGGGTTCTCTTGTCCATCTTCAAGTTTCACAGAGGGGGCTTGCATAGGAGTACAGACTGAAGCCAGCAGAGAGGAAGGACTGACTGAGGGACTGTATGTCCCCTAATTGGAAGGTGGCAACATGCCTGGTCTTGTCCTCTCTTTTGCACAGCACAGGTTCCAGCACTGGCTTTGGAAAAAAAAAATGCCCTGCCCAGAAGGAAAGCCAGGAAAGGTTGGGAAGTGGGTGGCCAGATGAGAAGGCCTGGTAGGAGCCTTCAGACAATTTGGGATGTAGTTGAGTTGGACAGTAACTACGCCTGGGCCTGTGGGAAGGCGGGGACCATAGTACTCCAGCCCAAAGACGAGGAGAGCTTTCATTACCTTGGCTTGGGCTGGAAATTCATAGGGCAGGGCCCACCACTTTCCAAAGAAATAAACAATTATTTTTAACAAATGGAGGCAGTGAAAACTTGCTTAGATATCCTGTGTGGAAGATGGGAGTAGTAAATAGATGTCATGCCAAAATGGGATGAAGACCCCACCCTCACAGAACTGGGATAAAGTTGGATGGAGACCACTGAAGAAGGGTAGAGACCCAGAACAAGACCAAATGAGACTTTGGGGAAGGCACTTTGTGGGATAAAAGCATTGGAACCACCTAGTCCAGTTTAAAAATAGCCCCATCTGTTCTAGTTTCTATCTGCATATACTATTCCCAGGTTGCTTTAGTAACCAGGGCTCCTAGGGTCATTTAGGGGGGCAGGTACTAAGGAGGGTGGATATGCTGGGAAATGGGAGTGGAGTATGTATTGGCAGATCCTTATTCAAACAGCAGGGCGGGTGGTGGTTGCTCTCTTGAGTTATCAATGGCAGTTAATGTCCCTCCTACCCACCCCCCAGTTACCAATGCCTTAAACTTTCGAGACTTGGGAGGTGCTGGCAAAAAGTTCTGTTGGATGTCAATCTCAGGGTTTGTCCCTTTCTTCCCTCTGCTTCCACATAGGACTACAGAGGTTTTAAATGTAATTAAGAGTTCGTCCTGGCAGGATGGCTCAGTTGATAAGTGTTGTCCTCATACACCAAGGTTGTGGGTTCAATCCCCAGTCAGGGCACATACAAGAATCAACCGGTGAATGCACAAATAAGTGGAATAACAAGTGGATCTCTCTCTCTCTCTCTCTCTCTCTCTCTCTCTCCCTCTCTCTCTCTCTCTCTCTCTAAATCAATAAACATTTAAAAAAAAGTCAAGGCTGAGGGCCCCAATAGCCAAACCTCAGTTCCTCTTCAGCTCATAGCTGATACGGGGGAAAAACTCAGATGTCTGATCTAATGGGGCAGTGGATTTGGAGGTAGAGACAGAAAATAGTCTAAAGACTAAAGGTGGGAAAATACTGAAATATTGTGTGAGGATTTTAGAAGCCACACAGTGATAAAGTAAATGTTGGTTTTCTGGAACAATTTTGGATTATTAAAAGAGATGGTTTATGAGCATTTAGAGAGATGAGTGTGATCATAGATGACTGCTTTCCAGCCAAATGCTGGCACACTTAAATTTATTTTCATTTTGCCAAATATTCCTAAAGAGGGAGATTTGGGGAACTGACACATTGCATGTCCTTTATTAATGTACTCCAGCTAAACCACCAGGAATACACCTGCAGTCGAACAAACTGGGTTTAATGCTCATCGCAGTGATGGAGAGCGCGGGCCATGGGGAACTGGTGTGCCTCAGTGAAAGGGTGTTAGAAAAGAGTTACAGAACTTGTACTCTGGTAAGTGATTTGGGGGAAGGTTTAAGGAAGTTGGGCTTCATTCTGGATTGGGTGCTGTCAGGAAAGCAGGGATAGATAATTCTATGGGTATCTTTATCCTATCCAGAAAAAGGGCAGACCAGAGTGAAGCGAAACTCTAATTGGTAATGAAACAGCAGTCGCTCAGCTGGGAGAGGGACATGTTTGCTATTCTGTGGTTTGCACACTGACCTTTTATGCTTAAACAAAATTGTGATTTTTTTTTTTTTTTTGCCTCACTTCATCACAGTCACTTAGTGCCCTTGTCCTATGTTGGTGATTTGTGAGATTCATTGTGTCCAACAGAAGAGCACTGTTTCCTACCTGTGAGCCGGAGTCAGCACCCACCAGCTCTTGAAGCCTAGCTGTGTCAGGCCAGTTCATAGGTGTCAGGAGCTGCTTACCTCTTTCTCTCCTCCTAAGTCACTGCAAACAAAAGAATAATTAAGAATCACTTAATAGTACAGTTTGGTGGAATCCAAACTGAACATTTGTATGTAGTAAATACTGATTAGTGCATTCATGTTAAGGAAGATCTGTAGTCTCTAGTGATATACCCAAAGGATATGGTTCTTTTTTTTCTTTAATACATATAAAAATATAAAAGCCTCTGTTATCAACAGTAACACAAGGACATACGAAGTAATATTGGAAGTGTTTGTAACTTGGATTGACTAAATCCAAGGGGTCAACTTGGATCAATTTGGATTGACCCTCCCCCTAAAAAAATTGCTTGAGCCTGCTTGAGAAGTAAATGCAGAAATCTACATTAGCAATGAGAACAATACAGGACTTCCAATTGGCTACAAAAAAGGTCTTAGCTTTTTTTTGGAGCTCCATAGGGTAACAGACTTGTAATCATGCATTGTAAATATAGCAGTTCTTCCGTGTCTGTCTAAATGGAACCACTCCTAAAGTATTGTGTTCTTCTAAATATAATTTTTAGAAGGCCGCTGACAAACCAGTAGGGTAGCTGAATAGATGACTTTGGGGATACCCAATGGATATCTGAATATCTGAAGGGCTGTCCAGTGGAGAAAAGGTCCTGTCTTGCTGCATAGGAAATAAACAGGGAGTTCTAGAATAATAGCTAACATTTATTGAGTACTTAATATAAGTCAAGGCATTTTACGTGCAGTATCTAATTGACAACATGATGTGGATATTAATCTCATACCCATTTGGCAGAAGAGAAAGGAGTCTTAAAGAGGATTAATCAGCACTGAATGTAGTGGCTCAGTGGGTGGGCATCATCCTGCAAACCGGAAGATCTCAGGTTTGATTCCTGGTCGGAGCCCATGCCTTGGTTGCAGGCCAGGTCCCCAGTTGAGGGGAGAGGCAATGGATCAATGTTTCTCTCCCTCTCTTCCTCCCTTCTCTCTCTAAAAGTAAATAAGTGAAATATAAAGTAAATAAATATTTAAAAAAGGATTAATCAGCTCAGGGTTCCCCAACTAGAAAGGAGTAGAGCCAAGAATCTATTCAGACAGGATGACTCCTGATTTGGCATAACAAAGTTCTAATGTAGAGCCATCCAACAATGGGACTACTTACTACTTTGTTGTGATTTGCTAGAATAATACAGAGGAAATTTCTTCTAATCCTGTTGCCCTTCCATTTTGGGGAGGGGGCTAAAACCAGATTACCACATTCAATCCTCTGCCCCCCTAAGGAAGCAACTGTAGTTTACATATAAATGCAGATTGCAAATCCAGGAAGTCTCTAAGGAAGACACTTCCTCTAGCTAACGGCCCTTCTTTTTCCAGTTACCATTTACTGCTTATCACCACCAGGTGGCACCTGGGCAACAAAATCGTCAATGGGCGGGGACCCACCCTGTTTACTAGCTCTGGTGTCTGCATTGCAGCTGCTGATTGTGTGGCTCTTGGCCCCAGCTGGGAAGAGACCTTCCTGAGGATGAGTTTTTTGTGTCCCATATACCGTCTTCATTAGGAGGGTCTGACAGTCTAGATGGGTTGAGGAAGGGAGAATTTTGGAACCTCCATAGGTTACCCTGTCTCCCATCCTAAGACCCCCTCTCCCTACTCCAATGCTTGGCAAATTTCAGTTTATAGGGAGGTTTCCCTATAAGGAGCTTCATTCATTTTTCTCCTATAGTTCTGCTTCATCAGCTGGGGAGCTGATCATTCTTACCTCCTTCAAACTTCTTGAGGTCCTTTTCTACCTGCTCACCTCTGAGAATATGGAGGACATAGGAGGCAGATAGAAAATTGTTCCTTACACAGCTCTGCAAAATGAAGAGGCAGTCTAGATAATGTAAGCCTCAGAGAAGTAGAGAAAGGGAAGTGAGAAGTTTCAAGATTGGGCAGCAATAGATTTTAAGCAGCTTTGATGAAACAGCCTGATGAATTCTATGCCCTGCAGAGCCAGAAAAAATTTATCAGCTGCAGATCTAGTCTCGTCTCAGTGATCAACTCTAGTTCCCCTGCTGTATCAAACAGAGTAAAGCCCCATAAATACTGCATTAAACAGTAATCATTTTATGACCAATCCCTTCCCTCCAGGGTTTCCAGTTAGTCTAGTTTTTAAGTCCCTAGACAACACTCCACCTCTAAGTCCAGTTAACTAGTAACAGTTGTCTTCATCAATGTGCCCTGCATTTCCTCCTTCCTGAACTGAACTATACATTACAGTGTAGAACTGTATTATCCCAACTTTATGACCGTATCCCAGACCTTCTTTCTAACAATGGCAAATGAGAAACGGAACCGTCTCATCACTCTTGGTTTCTTATATTCGTGTTCTAGCAGTTGTCAAGGTCAGGAAGTGCTTGGAAAATATAATCATTTCTGCTCTAACTGAGCCTTTCTCCCCCTTTTTGTAGCCAAATTAGTTTTAATCTCCTGTCTATTATAGAATAGACTAATTCTTGGAGATTTCTAACAAGAAAAAAAGCCTCACTTCCTGTTCATTCCGCCCCCCCACCCCCCTCTTCCCGGAGGGCTAGATGATCTCAACTGTAATTTTCGGATTCTCCAGTTTTCTCTAGCTTCTGTCGTTGCACTGCATGGACAGGGTAGAGGACTAGGGACAGGATAGGCAGAGTAGGTAGGCCGTAGAACACTTTCATTCCAAATAAGGTCGTTTCCTTTCCTTGTTAAAGACAGCCAGGAGCATATCGAAGGAATGTGCCTAGGATATGAAAACTATCCCTAGCTGACAAATGAACATGCAGGAATTCCAGGCCAAATCCTGACAAACCGAATGGAGTAGAAGGGAATCCTGACTCTCCACAAAACCCTCAACTTCGCAAGTCTGGTTCTCTCTAAAAACCAAGTAATTGGCGATGCGGCTCTGCGTGATGTCAAACCACAAGCAGTCCAATCCCACGTCGGGGAGCTCCTGGTCCCGCCTCTTTAAATGGTAGACCACACTGCCTTCTCTTTCTAGCCAATCCAGTGCTGCTCTTTAGCCTCTTTCTTCCTTTTCCCGCCTTTGGCACTCTCGTCCAATCACGGAGGCCCTGCCTCCCCCCAGCCCTCTCCCCTTCCTGGAAGAAGAGGGGAGGGGCTTCGAGCTTTTGACTCCACCTCGGTCTCTGCGGCGCGGACCAACCCGAAGCATTAGAAAGAAAGGGTGTGGCTTGATGTCCCCTCCCCCATTTTAGGGTTTACCGTATGCTGGGGGGCAGCTGGTTTTAAGACTAGGCAACCTCCAGCGGGTCTCTAGGTCCCGCGGTTCCTCCCAGAGGTGGCACCATGGAGCGCTCCCCTGGAGACAGCTCCAGCCCCAGCCCCAGCCCCGAGGACCAGCCCTCAGGTCCCTCCGACCCCCCAGACCTGACTCCCACTGCGCACACAAAGCCAGACCTGAGTTCTGAGGACCAACCTGCCCGCCCAGGCGCGGCGGGTGAGGCTCTGGCGATGCTAACTTCGTTCGGGCGGCGGATGCTGGTGCTGGTGCCGGTGTACCTGGCCGGGGCAATGGGACTCAGCGTGGGTTTCGTGCTTTTCGGCCTCGCCCTCTACCTGGGCTGGCGCCGGGTCCGCGACGAGAAAGAACGGAGCCTTCGAGTAGCGCGGGAGCTGCTGGACGATGAGGAGCGGCTCACGACGAAAACACTTTACATGAGCCATCGAGAACTGCCTGCGTGGGTGAGCGACCACCCTCAATCCTCTGTGCAGCGTAGCTCCCTTCTAGCCCCTCAGTTCTGAGGGCTCTCCATCCCTATATCTGAAGTCCCCTATCGCTGAAGTCAGCTCCTCACCCAGAGACAATGGGCCCCACCCAGACTTTCCCTTCCTGCCTCTTATCCGCGTGTCTCTTGGGACCGACTGCCCACCACCCCTGCCTTTCTGCACGCCCAGAGCCTCATCCTTCCACATAATCAGGAGATCTTCCCCTATGCTGGGGCAAGTAAGCCGTGGCTCTCCCTCCCAGCCAAGCTCCTACTCGCTTCTGGTGTCACTCACGCCTTTGTAGCGCTTGGGCATCCCTGTTCCCGCAGCTGCTCAGAGGATTCCCACCTCTCTCCCATCCTCAAGACTATCCCCCTTCAACCCATTCAAGGCTATAAGGTTCTTTTCTTTTCCCCACGCTTATCCCCGGTGACCCGCTGGGCTACAGCCCTGGGAGCACTGCCCAACTTAGATTCCTGCACCAGGCCAGATCCTCTGGCCGTCACCACCTCCCAGCCTCGGGCAGTCGGGCCGCAGAGCGGCGCAGGGCTGGCGGCTGCTGGACGAAGGGCGGGGGTGCTGGGGGTGGGGTGGGGAGGCCGAATACTGTAGTGCCCGCAGCCCACACTTCAAGGTCTGGGCCGGCCCCACCCTTTTCCGGACTGTGGGCTGTGCTTGGTCCGCGCTCAGATCGGATCCTTATCGCTGTGCCCCTCTCCTTTGGTGGCGAGCCCAATGCCTTCCCTTAGGCCTTGCAAGGACAGAGCCCGTTACCCAGTCTCTCCCTACTCCTCCCTACCTGCTCCTCCCAGCAGATGTGCCAGTCTAGAAGGACAGAGACAAGAGAGATGAACAAAGTTGACTCTAGACAGACGCCACCAAGCTTCCCAGGCCCTGGGGCTGAAGAAGGGGGAGGGGGGAGTGGTCCCAAGGGACTTGTAGCCCAGGCAGCAACCGTCCTTTTTTCCTCCTACTCTTCAACATGGAAACTAATCCTCCAGAAGCAACTACCCCATCTCCTCCCCCAATACAAAGCACAGGTGTCCTTCTTTCCCATAAAAGGAGCCACATCTGATAAAAACAAATAAAGGGGAAAAAAAAGGCCAGGGCCTAAATAGCTCTTTTGGTCCCTCCCTGATTCAAGGAGCTGCTTCCCTTTTCATCTTTGTGACATAGAAGCCCCAGTCAGAGAAGAGGGAAGGCTGCACAAAGGAACCAGGCCTTTTCCAATCCCAGAATTTCCTCCCCAAACTGTTTTGGCAGGACCTCCCCCTCCAGAAAGAATGTGTCCTTCTCACTCCTCTGCTCCAGCAGCTGTCATTGCACATCCCAGAGTTATCCACAAAGCAACTCTGTGTGGCCGACATCCCATTGGCTCCTCTTCTCAAACCTCAGTGCCCCCAAACCCTCCGGGGTAAATGACACCTTGGGTCATCCCAGCCCCTCCCCACAACCCCTGACTGTGAGGAGGCCCTGGCACACTTAGGTTTCCTTTTCTCTGTGGGCATCCCAACCCCCACCCCAGCACCTTAGTAGGAAACCACAGGTGGAGGGTGTGCTCATCACTATCTCTCCCTTCCCCACTTCCAGGTCAGCTTCCCGGATGTGGAAAAGGCTGAGTGGCTAAATAAGGTGAGGGTTGATTGCCTTGATTTTTAGTTTTCATGAGGGAAGCATGGGATTCCTTTCTCTATTTTTTAAAAGATTTTATTTATTTTATTTTTGGAGGGGAAGGGAGGGAGAAAGGGAGAGAAACATCAATGTGTGGCCGACTCTCATGCGCCCCCTACTGGGGACCTGGCCTGCAACCCAGGCATGTGCCCAGACCTGTAATCAAACTGGTGACCCTTTTGTTCACAGGCCAGCACTCAATCCACTAAGCCACACCAGCCAGGGCAGATTCCTTTCTCTTGCCAGACCCTGCCACACTTCAGTTCTAGCCCCAGCCTAGTCCCCAGTGCTCTCTGTGGGGAGGATTCTGAAGGAACTTGACTTTAGAGGGAGGACTGGGTTTTTTCTATGACTGGCCCCCTTTCCTTCCAGATTGTGGCTCAGGTCTGGCCCTTTCTGGGCCAATATATGGAGAAGCTTTTGGCTGAAACTGTGGCCCCTGCTGTTCGAGGCTCCAACCCCCATTTGCAAACATTTACATTTACACGAGTGGAACTGGGAGAAAAGGTATGTGTGCAAGAGGGAAAGTAATGGGTGGAAAGAGATGGGACAGGGAAGGTGGGTTGCCCCGAGGTCTTGAGATACTCCTCCCTTCCCCTTCCCTCTCTCTCAAGAATTCATCTCTCTCTAGCCATTGCGCATCCTAGGAATCAAGGTTCATCCTGGTCAAAGTAAAGAACAGATCCTGCTAGACTTGAACATCAGGTAACACCACTCACAACTCTTCCCATTTCCCCTTCAACAGGATCCTGGTCACTTACACTTGACCCCCCTTCCCTCGACTTCAGCCTAGTACTAACTTTCTTTTTTCTCTTCCTTACCAATCCCCAGCTATGTAGGTGATATACAGATTGATGTGGAAGTGAAGAAATATTTCTGCAAAGCAGGAGTCAAGGGCATGCAGGTGGGGCAGATATCAGGGCGCCCCCATAGTAGGGAGCCTTTGCCCTAAGTTTCCTTGGATGTAGAGAAGTCTGGGGAGGGAAAAGAGGCATTTTTCTGAGGAAAGACTTTGATCTTCTTTCTCTTCTTATCCCAGCTTCACGGTGTCCTGCGGGTGATTCTTGAGCCACTCATTGGAGACCTTCCTATCGTAGGGGCTGTGTCGATGTTCTTTATTCGGCGCCCGGTAAGGAGGGAAGGGGAAACAGGATTGGGAAGGTGAGGGTAGCCAGCTGTGGGGAATGGAGAAGGGAATTGACAGGAAGGGTGAATTCTGGCAACTGCTGGGTAGATATGACAATGCCACCCTAGGCTCTGTTCTAATCGCTCTGCTCTTTCTTTCCAGACCCTTGATATCAACTGGACAGGGATGACAAACCTGCTGGATATCCCAGGACTCAGGTACCAAGGGCTTACTGAGCACCTGTGAAGTGTCCAGCCTGGCCTGGGTGCCCCAGGGTCACAGAGCAGTGAAAGACGCAGTGGTGTCTTCCTGGAGCCTTGAGCTCAGGCAGAAAGATAAGACAAATACCCCAAAAAGTGCTGTGCCGTGACTTTTCCCTTGTCGGGGAACAAGCACTTTGGCAAAGAATGAAGAGGGCTGCAGACTGTTCAACAGGGGCAAAAAGAGGAAGAAGGGACAAGGCAGTAGGTGGGAAATTAGGGTAGAAGAGTAACAAAGGGGTTTCAGGAAAGGACTGACTTCTAGCTTTAGGCCCCTTGGTTGTGGGAAACATAGTTGGGGTTGGGGATATTGTAAGTTGGGGCCACCCTCACCTTTTCCGTGCCCTCATTCAGCTCACTCTCCGACACCATGATCATGGACTCCATCGCTGCCTTCCTTGTGTTGCCCAACCGATTACTGGTGCCCCTTGTGCCTGACCTTCATGACGTGGCCCAGTTACGTTCCCCTCTTCCCAGGGTATGGCTTCTCCCCCATTAAGCAGAGCTTCTCAGAACCCCTGTGCTGGGCCCATAGTTTCTCACTATTGGATTCCTACACTCAGGGCATCATTCGGATTCACCTGCTGGCTGCCCGAGGACTAAGCTCCAAGGACAAATATGTGAAGGGCCTGATTGAGGGCAAGTCAGACCCCTATGCACTTGTGCGAGTGGGCACGCAGACATTCTGTAGTCGTGTCATCGACGAGGAGCTCAACCCCCAGTGGGGGGAGACTTATGAGGTAGGAGAGCTGAGGTGCGGGGCTGTGTGAAATGGGGAGGCCTCGGAAGGTTGCGAGGGAGAATACTGATTGGATTGATCCTCAGCGTCGCAGCCCATGAGACCCTCATCCCTCTGTGCCCTTCAGGTGATAGTGCATGAGGTTCCAGGTCAGGAGATTGAGGTGGAAGTGTTTGACAAGGACCCAGACAAAGATGATTTTCTGGGCAGGTGAGACTCCACCTGTGTTAGGATTTTAAAGCCTCATTGCTAGCAAGGTCACAAAGCTAATTGTCATCCTCTCCCAGGCCTGGGAATTGTGGTCATTTTCCTTGCCGACCTCCCTACCCCTTGCCCCCACACCCCCACAGGCCTGTGGGTGGGTGTGTGCACACACACAATCCTCTCCTGAGTGTAAGAAGAAGGGAGTCTTGAGATCTTCCAGTTATTTCTGGGTGAGTGAGTAGAGGGTCAATGACATGCTACAAATTACAGCATTCCCCCTTTTTCCCTCTCTTTGCCCACCTCCGCAGAATGAAGCTGGATGTAGGGAAGGTATTACAGGCTGGAGTACTGGATGACGTGAGTTAAGGGGAAGATAGGGGGTGGTCTCACCCATTCAGCAGAGAATGGCTGCTGCATTGGTGGGGAAGAGGCTGGATGTCTGTCTGATCTGTACTATGCCTGACTTCCTTCCACTTCTTCCTTCAGTGGTTCCCTCTACAAGGCGGGCAAGGCCAAGTTCACTTAAGGCTAGAATGGCTGTCACTTTTGCCAGATGCAGAAAAACTGGAGCAGGTAACCAATGTGGGAAACAGGAAGCTGGCAGGGGAGAAATGGGTATCGGGAAGTACAGGGGACTGTGGGGACTAAGATCTGACTACTGCCACCCCTGCAGGTTCTACAGTGGAACCGAGGAGTCTCCTCCCGACCAGAACCCCCATCAGCTGCCATCTTAGTTGTCTATCTGGATCGGGCCCAGGATCTCCCTGTGAGTGTGGCTTCCAGGGGCAGGTGAACAGAGAACCTTGGATACAGCATTCCCACACCCTCTTTTTCCCTTGCCTGCTTCGTTCCAGAAGCAGCAACATGTAACACAAGGGTTCCAAGGAAGAAAGGGTCCCAAGCCACCTCAGGGAAAAGATTCTGCTAAGAGCCCACCTTCCTTCGCTGAAACAAAAACACCATGATACTGACTTCTGAATTCTACCCCCCACAGCTAAAGAAGGGGAACAAGGAACCCAACCCCATGGTACAACTGTCAATTCAGGATGTGACCCAGGAGAGCAAGGTGAGGGCCAGGACATCATTGTGGGAGGTGTCATTTGTGAGTGGGGCTGGGGGTGGGGAGGGCTGTTTGGGGGATGAAGTTTCTTCTGGAAAACCTCTAATGGCAAGGGCTTTCTGGAGAAACAGGAGTGATACTGTGGTGCAGACGCTTTTTAAAACAAATTTATTTGGGTGACATTGGTTAATAAAATTTGTGGCATGTACCCTGAATCCTGCACATCTTCAGGCTGTCTATAGCAACAACTGCCCAGTGTGGGAGGAGGCCTTCCGATTCTTCCTGCAAGACCCTCAAAGCCAGGAGCTTGATGTACAAGTAAGATAATCAACTGCTCAGCCCCTCCTGAACACCCTATTCCATCTTCTCAGATCTGTGCCATTTTCTCCATGTTCTCCTTTGATTTCTTTCTTTCTTTTTTTTTTTTTTTTAAGATTTTATTTATTGCCCTGGCTGGTGTAGCTCAGTGGATTGAGTGTGGACTGTGAACTAAAGGATCACCAGTTCAGTTCCCAATCAGGGCACATGCATGGGCTGCAGGCTGGGTTCCCAGTACTTGAGCATTAACCACACATTGATGTTTCTCTCCCTTCCCCTTTCTCTAAAAATAAATAAACGAAATTAAAACAAAAAAAGATTTTATTTCTTTGTAGAGGGAAAGGGAGGAAGAGAAGCATCAATGTGTGGTTGCCTTTCACACCCCCCCGCAACTGGGGACCTGGCCTGCAACCCAGGTATATGCCCTGACTGGGAATTGAACTGGTGACCCTTTGGTTTGCAGGCTGGTACTCAATCCACTGAGCCACACCAACCAGGGCTGATTTCTATTTTTAATCCATCTACCTAGACTCTGCCTCCTCTACTCTCTCTCCTGTTCTCCACATGTGTAGAATAATTTTTTATAATTAAGAATTGTCCGCTTAAAATAAGTATTTTTATGGTATATAAGTTACGCCTCAATAAAGCTATTGTTTTTTATAAATATTTTATTCATTTTTAGAGGGGAAGGGAGGGAGGAAGAGAGGGAGAGAAACATCAATCGGTTGCCTTTCACATGCCCCCAACTGGGGACCTGCCCCGAAACCAGGAATCTAACCAGCAACCTTTAGGTTAGTGGGATAACACCCAGCCCACTGAGCCACACCAGTCAGGGCTCAATAAAATCATTATTATTTTTTGTTTGTTTTTAAAGAGATTTTATTTATTTATTTTTAGAGAGAGGGGAAGGGAGGGAGAAAGAGAGGGAGAGAAACATCAATGTGTGGTTGCCTCCCACACGCCCACTGGAACCTGGTCTGCAACCCAGGCATATGCCTCAACCAGGAATCAAACCAGCAACCCTTTGGTTCGCAAGCCAGTGCTCAATCCACTGAGCTACACCAGCCAGGGCAAGTTATTGCTTTTTAAAAAGAGCAAAGAACATATTGAATACATTGAATAATAGATACGTTGTATTGTAAATGTCATGGAAAAAGCATGAAACAGTACCTGCCTTCATGAAGCTTACTAGCTAGTTTCATAGACGACACACACATATAAAACCATCCAAAAAGAATTAAATATTAATTAGTGGGAGTAGAATACCTATAATATAGTGCTGAGGATGGCCAGAGATAGGTCCAGAGGCTGGAGTAACTAAAGATTTTGTGAGGGAAGCAGGCTTTTACATGGACCTTGAAGGGATAATTAGGATTTAAATAGGCAGAGAGGATAATGAGAACTTTCCAGGTAATGGGAACAGAATGCACACAGGCGGAAGTGACCATGGAGTGGGTGAAAGACTGAAAGGTTGGCCCAGAATGGAGCAAAAGGTCTGGGACGCGCACAGAGAGAATGAATCTGGAGCCATATTATAATTTCCCCAGGATGCCTCCCTTTTCCCTGATCTCTGCACTCCAGCTCCTCCTCCTCTGCCTGTAGGTGAAGGATGACTCCAGGGCCCTGACTTTAGGGGCACTGACCCTGCCCCTGGCTCGCCTGCTGACTGCCTCTGAACTCACCCTGGACCAGTGGTTCCAGCTCAGCAGCTCTGGCCCAAACTCCAGGCTCTACATGAAGCTGGTTATGAGGGTATGGAGAGGGAGGGGAGTGCTGAGGGTGGGGAAGGGCCTTGTAGATTCCTTAGTGTTAAGACTAAGGAAGGGGGAATCCTTTAAGATGAAATGAGCTAGTATTATATATGGAACACCTAGCAGACACACAAAAAATGTTTGTAGATCTAACTAGGGAAAGATATGGTGTATAAATAGGATGAGCATGGAGGGAACCCCATAGACATGAGCCCAAATAAGATGGGTACCAGGTTTCCTCGTCAGTGCCCCTGCTCTGACCCAAATCCCCACATACCTGCCTGCCAGTGGCCAGCTGCAGTTCTTTGATTTGACAATCACACTACCCTCCCAGATCTTGTACTTGGATTCATCAGAAGTGCACTTCCCCACTGTTCCTGGTGCCGCTGGTGCTTGGGACCCAGACAATGAGAGTCCCCAGACAGGCAGCAGTGTGGATGCCCCACCTCGACCCTCTCACACTACTCCTGACAGTCACTTTGGGACCGAGGTGAGTCTATCTGGAAAGGACTAGGGTCTGCTTGCCCGCTGTAAGTGTGCAAAGCCTGTTTCAGGGTTGGGTCTGACAGGTTTCTTTCTCTTTGACTGCCTTCTGGTGCCCCTGTCTGTGCTTTTTGCAGAATGTTCTTCGGATCCATGTGCTAGAGGCCCAGGACCTGATTGCCAAAGACCGTTTCTTGGGGGGATTGGTGAAGGGCAAGTCAGACCCCTATGTGAAACTAAAGCTGGCAGGCCGGAGCTTTCGGAGCCGTGTTATTCGGGAAGATCTCAATCCCCGCTGGAATGAGGTTTTTGAGGTCAGAGTTAAGTGGCTAGGTCTCCTCCCAGCCCTGCCTCTTTCTTCCCCCATCTGTGAGAGTGGTCCAAAAAAGCTCGGGGTGGGGGGGTTGTCTAGTCATTTGGAGAAGAAAAGGAGAGATTCCACTTTTGTCTGTACTGTTCTCTCCCACTAGGTGATCGTCACATCGATTCCAGGCCAAGAGCTAGAGGTTGAGGTTTTTGACAAGGACCTGGACAAGGATGACTTTCTGGGCAGGTGAGAGGATGGGAGTCCAGCAGGGAGACAGGCTGAGCCTCTGTAGGCCTTAGAAGTCTGGCCTCGGGGAGACAGGGACTTGGCTCTGACCACTGGCCTCTTGTCTTAATCTTTCTCCTCTAGGTGTAAAGTGAGTCTCACCACAGTCCTGAACAGTGGCTTCCTTGATGAGGTGAGCATGGAATTAGAATCGTTCCCAATCTTGACCCAAGGCTTATTCTCATAGGCCCTCTGCCCCCACACCCCCAAGTTTTAACCCTGCCTGCTACCACAGTGGCTGACCCTGGAGGACGTCCCATCTGGCCGCCTGCACTTGCGCCTGGAGCGTCTGACCCCCCATCCCACTGCTGCTGAGTTAGAGGAGGTAGGGAAGGCTACAGGAGGAAGGAGGGGGCCCCAAATGAACACATCTATCTGATTTTATTTTATTTATTTTATTTTTTACTTATTGATTTAAGAGAAACATTGATTTTTTTTGTTCCACATATACATTTCATTGGTTGGTTCTGGCAACCTTGGTGCATCAGGTCGACACTCCAACCAGCTGAGCTTTCTGGCCAGGGCCACTTCTGTCTGATTTTAAGGTGTACGCCAGGTCCCAGGCTGTCAGTCACTGCTCTCCAACCCCCTGTGTGCCTTTCCCCAGGTGCTGCAGGTAAACAGTTTGATCCAGACTCAGAAGAGTGCGGAGCTGGCGGCAGCTGTGCTGTCCGTCTATGTGGAGCGGGCTGAGGACCTGCCGGTGAGATCTGCTCCCCACGCCCCATGATTCCCTGACCCCACTTCCACTTCCCTCAGATGAGGATGCTCCTGGTGTGTCTGGAATAACAATAAATCCCTAATTCCTCTGTTCGATAGGGTGGAGCTGGGGTCAGAGGAATTGCCTGTCCAAGGAGGGTGGTGGCTGTTACCTGGAGGGTGGAGCATGACTGCCGGCTCTGGGTGTGATTTGTGAGAGGAGGGGGAAAATCTACCTAACTCGATCCCAACTTAAGACAATTTTTAATATTTATATTATATTAAAAATATATATAAATTTATATATATATAATATATAAAATTTATATATATAATATATTTATATATAAAATATTTACATTAAATACTAAATATTTAGTATTTAACGGTGTATTCTCTTTCTAGCTCCGAAAAGGTGCCAAGCCTCCCAGCCCTTATGCTACTGTCACTGTGGGAGACACTTCTCATAAAACTAAGGTATGGGGGAATGCTGCGAGGAAAGAAAGGGAGGGGCAAGAGAAGTAGAGGAGAGACTGTCAATCACTGCTCTTCACCCCCCATGTCCACCAGACTGTTCCCCAAAGTTCAGCCCCTGTCTGGGACGAGAGTGCCTCCTTTCTCATCAGGAAACCAAACACCGAGAGCCTGGAATTACAGGTACTATAAGTTACTATAAGTTCATTCTACAAACATTTTGCAGATTCCCATCATGGGCCAGACATTGAACCAGGCACAGGGTGTTTAGCAATAAATGATCTAGTTTTCATCTTTATGGAGCCCACACTGTCTTTTGGAAGAAAAATAACCAGAGGACACTTTGCAGACTTATAACTGTTGAGGTAAAAGGCACTGTGGAAAAAAAAAGGCAGGTTCCAGCTCAGACTAGGGAAAAGGTAGTAGTAAGACAGCCATCTTTAGATGATGCCTCAGCTTAAGGGAAAATAGGTCCTGACCAGGAAAAGAAGGGTAGGAAGCTTTTCAGGCTGAGAAAAGAATGGAGGAGAAAGAAGGCAAATTACAGATTAGAGAGGCAGCCAGGAGCAAGATCATAGGGGCTGCTGAATGTTACACTAAGCACTTGGATGTTATCCTAAAGGCACAGGGAGACATTGGAAGGAATGAAAGGTGACACACCCAGATGAGCTTTATGCTGAGAGCAGGGTAAAGAATGGACAACACTGGGGGCAAGTAGATGAGTTAAGAGATCATTAGAGTAACTAGAGCAAGAAATAACAAAGACCAGATGGTATTTGGTGGTTACTTTGACATGGAGGTGGGGGAGGAACAAGGAACAGCCTCGATGCTAACTCCTGAATTTTTGGCATGGGTGGCTGGACAGGTAAAGGCGCCATTGACAGCATAGAAAATGCACAAAGTAGAAGTTTGTGAATTTGAGCTCTCTGAGGGACATCCAGGGGGAGACAGCCTTTCAGAAGGTAGATCTGTGGTCTGTTATGGTGATCCCCCCTTTCCTTCTTTGAACATCATGAGCAAGCAACAGGTAGCAGCTGTCAGTGGTGTAAGTGAGATCTCACAGAGCATGTATAGAGGTGAACAGCAGACAACGGATGGGCATGCTGGGCACTGTAACAACAAAAGGGCAGATGGAGGAAGAAGAGCCCTTCAAAGGGCCTGAGGTATAGCCAGGGCAGTGGGACACTCACCTGGAAAGAGTGAGTTACAGATACCAAAAGAAGAGTGTTTCAAAAAACGGAAAGTGGCCAGATGTTGCTGAGAGGGGAAAGCTGGATGACTGAAAATTACTCATTGACTTTGAACTAGGAGGTTATGGATTATTTCAGCAACTTCAGTGGCATAAATGGAGCAGAAACTAGATATCAGTTAGTTGAAGGGTGAACCAAAAGTGAAGAGGTATGAGAGGTAGAGACAGAAGTGGAAGGTAATATAGGGGTGCTGACTTCCTCTTATGGAGGAGTCAAGAAATAGCTTCTAAGGTACATAGAGCCCTGCCTGGTGTGGCTCAGTGGATTGAGTACCAGCCTGCACCGGTTCAATTTCCCAGTTGGGGCACATGCCTGGGTTGCGGGCCAGGTCCCCCATTGGGAGTGTGCAAGAGGCAACCACAAATTGATTTCTCTCCCTCCCTTCTCCTCTCTCTGAAAATAAATAAATAAAATCTTTAAAAATAAATAAAGTAGATATAAAAGTAAGTGTACACTTACATGAAGAAAAACCAATAGAATTTAAAGTAAGGTAACTATTATCCTGGCCAGATGGCTCAACTGGTTGGAGTGTCATCCCTTACACCAAAAGGTTGTGGGTTCAATCTCTGGTCAGGGCACATACCTAGGTTATGGGTTCCATCCCTGGTTGGGACACATACAGTAGGCAACCAATTGATCTCTCTTTCTTTCCATTCCTTTCTCTAAAATCAATAAAAAACATATTCTCTTGTCCTGGCTGGTGTGGCTCAGTGGACTGACTGACTGCTGGCATGAGAACCAAAGGGTTGCCAGTTCAGTTCTCAGTCAGGGCTTGTGCCAGGGTTGCAGGCTGGGTTCCTGGTTCGGGGCCTGCAAGAGGAAACTGATCAGTGTATCTCTCAAACCATTAACAACACTAGCAGAGGTAGAAATGTAAATGAGTATACTTCCTCATCTTCCTATTCCCATAACAAGGAATCAATCAATGGATATCAAAGTTGACAAATAGAGATATAGGCATATTAATTAGAATTATGTTAGAACAAAGGAACTGGGAAGTGTTGGGGTTTGCCCTGCCTGGTCTCAGGAAGCTGTAGACCAGGCTGTGGCCTGGAAGCTGTGGCTAAGGCTGAGTAAGAGACCTCCGAACCAGGAGACACTAAGGAGACAAAACTTATTTCCCTGGCATGAATGCTGCCTGTTCTGTGCCGGCCCCCAATGTTTGATCAGTTAGCCAATGACAGGTAAGATTTCCCAAGGGGAGAATCGCCTAAGACAGGCATGATCATGTGGAGGCATCAGGGAAGGACTTGGGGGGCTGTGGAAATGAAGGGGTGATCGACATCAACCCCTGACCCCTCGGCTTTGTCAAAGCCTGAGTCCTTGTTCTTAGTTGTGAGAAATCCAAGTCTCCCGGCTGCCTTTGTCTCCTCTGCCCAACTCAGGCCTGCAGAAATAACAGGGGCAGTACAGTCCAGACCAGAATCGGCGGACTCCCCAGGGTAATCAGGCCTGGGACATAGAATATGCAAGATCCTGTGAGATCTGCTTGCTGGAATATGCTCTTGAAATAGAATATGAAGGCATGGGCAGGAAACGAAACTAGCCTTTTAGGTCCTGTGGTCTTTTTAAGTGATAAAACTCCAAAATCTCAGCCCAGAATCCCAGCAGGAGATCTGCCAGCCCCTTTGAAAACTACCTACTTGTTTTATCTTCCCTGCCAGACAGTAATCCACAAACTGTATCTGTATTCTTAATAAAAGCCTGCTCGGGCGAGAAAACAGGGCATCTCCACTAGAGAGAGTGGCCGTTTCATCCCTATTTCTCCACAGGACTTGGTTGTCTGTGTGTATGTTTTTCTCGTGTTTTGACGAGCATCTGCAGTGATGGATACTGCTGGCCAGTATCTGCCACATGGAAGGTTTTATATGTTGTTAACATTTGGAGTATGGAAATGGAGTGGGATGAACAGAAAACATTTGAACCTAATTCCATTTTTTAAAATACTTTTATGTATTGATTTTGGAGAAACATTGATTTATTGTTCCACTTATCTGCACATTCATTCATTGATTCTTATATGTGCCCTGACCAGGGATCAAACCTGCAACCTTGGCTTATTGGGATGATGTTGTAACCCACTGAGCTACCCAGCTAGGGCCTAATTCCATTTTTTACTGTTCTTTTCTTACCCCTGTGCAGATATTACTGGTATGCTTTGTGAAAGCTTAGGGAATAAAGATAGTATAATCTACTGTGGTTAAGGAAGGAAGGGAAGCAGTGGCACCTACCACTGATGTCAGGGTTTCCCTGCCCTTCACAAAGGGGAGCTTCTCACTAAAACCACTCAAGAGTCCAAGCATTTGAACCAGGAACACTAGGATTAAATCTTTTCTCTTTTAATCACAGTGCTGTTGTTCTACAGGTCCGGGGTGAGGGGTCTGGTGCATTGGGCTCACTATCCCTGCCCCTCTCAGAGCTCCTTGAGGCTGACCAGCTCTGTGTGGACCGCTGGTTTACACTCAACAATGGTCAAGGGCAGGTGCTACTGAGAGCACAGCTGGGGGTGAGTGCCAGGAGATGGTGAGCAGGACCGGGAGGGTGGGCAGGAACAGGGCTGCATCCTCTTAGCGAGGTAGTGGAGCAGAACTCTGCCCAGCTCACAGCTTCCTTGTCCTCCTAGATCCTGGTGTCCCAGCACTCAGGAGTGGAAGCTCACAGCCACAGCCATAGCTACAGCTCCTCATCTCTGAGTGAAGAACCAGAGCTCTGGGGGGGGCAGCCTCACATCACCTCCTCAGCCCCAGAGCTCCGGCAGCGCCTAACCCATGGTGACAGGTAAAGGACTGGGATGGAAAGATAGAATGCAGTCAGGAATGTAAAGGATGAACTACAGCCCTGACTCATGTGACTCAGTGGGTTGGGTCTCATCCTGCAAACTGAAAGGTCACCAGTTCAATTCCTCGTCAGGGCACATGCTCAGGTTGCAGGCCACGTCCCTGGTTGGGGGAATTCAAGAGGCAACTGATCAATGTTTATCTCATTCTTCCTCTCTCCCCCTCGAAAAATAAATAAAATCATTAAATAAATCAATCAATAAAGGATGAGTTACAGGTTCCATAGGCACCGCCCCCTCCCAGACCTATCTCCGTCTCTCCACAGTCCCGCTGAGGCTCCAGCTGGGCCTCTGGGCCAGGTGAAACTGACTGTTTGGTACTACAGTGAGGAGCGAAAGCTCGTCAGCATCGTTCACAGTTGCCGGTGAGACCCCATCCGTTCGATTCTCCAAGTTCTCTCCATCGCTTGCTTGTGTCGCCTTTTCACCCTCATCCTCCTGTTGCAGTGCCCTTCGACAGAATGGGCGGGATCCCCCCGACCCCTATGTGTCACTGTTGCTGCTGCCAGACAAGAACCGGGGCACCAAGAAGAAGACCTCACAGAAGAAGAGGACCCTAAATCCTGAATTCAATGAACGGTCAGTCAGTGGACGTTCAGATGGAGAGATGGCAGGCCTGACAAGGACACCTGCCTCTAATACCCAGTCTCCCCAGGTTCGAGTGGGAACTGCCCCTGGATGAGGCCCTCCGACGAAAGCTGGATGTCTCTGTGAAGTCTAATTCCTCCTTCATGTCAAGAGAGCGTGAGCTGCTGGGGAAGGTAAGGGTGAACATGGACAGGGCAAAGGTGGGAATTAGAAGCTGCTGGTATCAAGGCTGTTGGCGAGGAAGCACCCCAGGTGATGTTATTTTGTAGGTGACCCCATCACCTCTACACTGGTTTGGGACCAGGAAGTATGATGGGACATGGTCTGTGGAGATAGCAAAATAATAACTTGTCTTTACCATCTTCCAACACAGGTGCAGTTGGATCTCGCTGAGATAGACCTTTCCCAAGGCGCGGCCCAGTGGTGAGTGTCTCAGTGGGCTGGGGATGGGCCCAGATATTAAGTGGGAGAAATCCCAATCATAGGAAGGGGAAAAAGGATGCACACTGAGGTGAGAACCGCTGATTCTCTGAAGTACAAAAGCCCTTAGTTTCTGTCTCATTCATAAGAAGACACAAGAGTCAACTTTATACCTGAGTATTCTCTGCTGCTTCCTACAGGTATGACCTCATGGATGACAAGGACAAAGGCAGCTCCTAGGAGCCGGGATTAACAGCCTGCTGTCTCTTTGCCTTGCCTCTTGCTGCATTACCGCCTCAATGCAATGAGCCAAAAGCTAGGGCTTGAGAGCTGAGCCTGCAGCCCTCAGCCCTCTCACCTCTCAGGCTCACACTCGGGCCTTTGCCTGACCAAAGAGGAAGACCATATGTTACCGTTTCTTTACTGCACGGCCTTTATTCTGGGCTCCTGGAGCAGGGACCTGAGCTGGCTATTTCCTACTCCGCCTGCAAAGTCTCCTTTCTTCCCAGCTCTTCAGGGCCTTCTGTACCTGTGCCTGGCCACTGGCAGCACTAGCAGTGGCATTAGCTTATGCCAAATACACTTTTGGAAAGATCTTTTCTCTTTATCACCTTCTTCCCTGTTGTAAACAAGGAGGGAAAACACGTGGGTGGGAAGGTGGATAGGCTTACTACTCAAGCTCTGACCCTCGGACCACTGCATGTAACAAATGTATAGCAACCCAGGCCCCCGTGGCCAATTCTGTCCCCACTTTCCTCAAGCCTGTCCTGAATTTTATACCTGCTATGATGACTGGTGCCAGCCAGTCTCCTGATTCACTCTGGGAATTGAGAGCACTTGGGTTCTAATCAAGCCTCAACTAGTAGGTATCACTCTTGGAACCTCTGGATGGTGCTATGCAGAGGACCTTCTAGGGCTCAGGACAGCAGGGCCAATTTCTTCGTCTAGATGCCTAGGCTATTAACTCACTAATCAGAACTGAATCTCATTCTGCACCAACTCTGCCAATTCACTGTGTCTTACATTAAACATTATAATCAAACCAGCTGTGGCTCTTTTCCTTAAGGACAGGGAATCCAGCCTACCCATCAGATGCTTATTCCAAGTGTCACAAACCTTTATTCAATTCTCAAATCATGTCAGTTTACTTAGTAGTCAGAACCTACTGTGGTTGCAGCCACCAAGAAGGTTGGTTCTGTTCAGGACAGTCAAAGGACCTGTGTGAAGCAGCTGCTACTGAGTTTCTGGTGAGATTCATTCCCAGTCACTGATGAAGTATGTTACCCAACTTGTCTGCTGACCATTATCTCATGGACTTTCCAGGGAAAGGATTCCCAAACCCAGTGAACCTGGAAGCTCTATGCCTCAGCACAGGCTCAGAGTGTCTCAGTATAATGTTTACCTACAACCAAAAAGATGTTAGGCCCATCTGATGGGCAGCTAAATGAGAAGTACCGTATTATGCTGTGTATAATGCACACTTTTCTGCCCAAGTTTTTGAGGGGAAAATAAGGTTGCGCATTATACATGGTAGTGCTAATTCTGTATCTCTATAAATGTTTTCAACTTTTATTTATGCTTATGCGTTAAAAGTGTAACTCTAGAAAGCAATAATGATATCTATATGCAGAATGATACCCTGGAATATGATAATCAGTTTTGTTTCTACGTATAAGTAAATAAATCATTGAACTTAAAAATTGAAACAAAAGATTTTTTTTTCCTGAAAGTTTCAGCCAAAAACGTGGGTGCACACTGTACACAGGAGTGCGTTATACAGTGCATTATGGCAAAATACAGCACTTTATACACATTTATACCCATCAGATCTGCTTGCCTTGAACTCTGCTCCTTTCGAGCCCTGTCTGGAGTGGAAGCTGTGGAAGCTGTGCTCCATCTGTTCTACAATCACATGAAGGGAGAGCGAGATGGAGGAAGAGGGAACTACTGAAAATGGTCACTGAAATAGGAACTTGGGAGATTCCAATCTGCTTCAGGGGAGATCTGTCATCTCCTGAAGAGCGTAAACTTTAGGGTGCTGCCCACTGGGAGTAGAGGAAAGGCTCAGGGGAAAGAACTAAACTCAGTTCCACAAGGAGTTGCCAAAAAGTCACCTTATTAGCAAAAGCTGAAGTTAAACTCCATGCCTTCTATGAACTCAGCTCCTGTTTTATTTTTCAATAATTCCTTTGTAGTCATTTCTGGTTCTTCCACTATTCTACTTCCTTCCCAGCAACTTAAGGGAATCCTAAGCCTTGGCTATGAGCAAGAGATCTCAGTTGCTCTCCACCTGACCCAGGAACTAAGGGGGAAACCCCAAAAATACAAGACAGAAGAACATACTTCTAAGGACTGTCTTATATTTGGTACTGGGCATGTGGCCCAAGACCTGTTCTAGCTGGCTTCAGCTAATACAACAGGGATCTTGCAATGTGTGACTTTAAGAAGCACTCTTGACCTAGTTGATCACTTCAAGTAATAAACATTTCCAGAAAACTAGAGGACATGGCACAAATTCTCCCATTCCAGAAGGGTCCCTACTCTTCCAACCTTCTCAAGATACACAAGGCAGGAAGAATTGATCCACATGTTAAATACAAGATGAGATGATTCAATACATTGTTACAATTCTATGCACAAAGATTGAACAAATTAAGGGTCATTAATCACAGGAATTAAGCAAATGTACTGTTATTCTTCAAACAGCCAGGCTTCCACACTGACATATGTGACACCTATGTCTTCCATAGAAAGGCAAGTACAGTTGCATGAGTACCCTGTAACTTGTGTTTACAAAGACTTCCCTCTTGGAATGTGACTTTATTGGCCCAAACTGTGTGTTGTAGTTGAGTGTGGCAACACAGTTGTCTAGCCAACAGCCATTTCCCTCTCTTCCCTATATATAGAAAACCCCAGAGCATTCCTTGTGACAGGTGAACCAACTCCAAGGGATTAATCACACAATTCTCTCCGATACACAGTCACTTTCCCAGCTTCCCTGCAACTGGCTTGTGACCCAGCTCTGGTTAACAAGATGTAAAAGGAAGTCAGCTGTGGACCGAAGTGTCAACAGAAGAGAGTCTGCATTGCCTCCTTTCTGCTGCAACAGAAGTGGCAGGAGAGGCAGCAGCCTTCTACATGACTACAGGAGTACCTATTTTATAAATTAGCATTGTCTTAAAGCCTGCTTTTTTCATTCAACACAAGCATCTTTACACTTCATTAAATATTCTTTTTTTTTAATCCTCACCTGGGGATATGTTTATTGATTTTTTTTAGAGAGAGAGAAGGAAGGGGAGGCAGTGGGGGAGAGAGAGAGACAGAGAAACATCAATGTGAGAGGGAAACATCAACTGGTTGCTCCCATCTGCACCTTGACTGAGGATCGAACCCGCAACCTAGGTACATGCCCTGATGGGGGATAGAACCTAAACTGTTCTGGTACACGCGACAGCACTCCAACCAACGGAGCCACTAGGCCAGGGCCGTTAAATATTCCTTGAAAATATAATTTCTATTAGTTGTGTATTAATTCTATAGAATGCACCAGAATTTAACTGAACCCCAGTGTTTTCCTATTCACTGTTGGAACATAAACAAAAACATTTGTACACATTTCACATGATTGCATTAGGGTAAGTAGAATTAGTGGGTCAACTTCTATACTTCAGTGACTTTCAACACATTCTTCCAAGCTGCATTCTAAGGAGATTGTATGAGTTTTCTACATTCCCACCGACATTACAAAAAAAAAAATGTGTTTTCCTACTTCTCTCCTGGCTATTTTAATTAAAAAAAAAAATCCATGTCAACTGATGGGCAAAATCTTGCCTACCTTTATAGAATTTTCTGTCTCTTCCTTCACTATCAGATAACCATGTGTCATTTCTTGGTGCAGTAAGCCCTCTCACCAGCAGCAATTCCTCTCCCTACCACCTGTCAACTTTCTTTCCTTTTTAGAAAATTTTAAAGATTTTATTCATTTACTTGTAGAGAGAGGGTAAGGGAGGGAGAAGTGGGGAGAGAAATAGCTATGTGCGAGATATACATGGACACACCCCCAACCGAGGACCTGACCCACAACCCAGGCATTTGTCCTGACTGGGAATTGAACTGGTGACCTTTCCGTTTAAAGGTCGGCACTGAGTCACACCACCTAGGGCTAGTTTTCTTCTCTGATCTTGGGCTGGAATCCAGATAACATTTGTGGAGTATTATATTAGTTAAGTACTACTGAAATATTAAAGTAAACTGTCCTAAAGAAACAAAAGAGGTCCTGGCTGGCGTGGCTCACTGGACTGAGCACCAGCCTGTGAACTGAAGGGTCATGGGTTCGAATGACTGTCAGGGAACATGCCTGGATTGCAGCCCGGTTCCCTAGTTGGAGGCGTGGGAGAGGCAACTAACTAATGTTTCTGTCCCTCTCTTTCTCTGTCCCTCCCCTTCTCTCTAAAAATAAATAAACAAATAAATAATTTTTTCTAAAGAAACAGAAGTGAATTTGACACCAAAAGCAAAGGCAACACAAGCAAAAATAAGTAAGTGGGATTATATCAAACTAAAAAAAAAAAAGACAACTTCTACCCTGGCTGGTGTGGCTCAGTGGATTGAGCACCGGCCTGTGAACCAGAGTGTCACCATTTTTATCCCAGTTGAAGGCACATGCCTGGGTTGTGGGCCAGTTACCCAGTCAAAGGCATGTAAGAGGCAACCACATATCAATATTTCCCTTCCTCTTTCTCCCTCCCTTCCCCTCTCTCTAAAAATGAGTAAATAAAATCTGTAAAAACAAGTCAAGAAGTGTTGGTGAGGATGTAGAGAAAAGTGCACCTCTGTGTTTTATTGGTGAGGATGCAAATTGGTACAGCAACTATGGAAAACAGTGTGGCATTTCCTCAAGAAATTAAAAATACTACTACTATATGATCCAGCAATTCCACTTCTGGGAATTTATCCAAAGAAACTAACTTGAAAATAATCTGCACTCCCACATTTACTACATCATTATTTACAATAGCCAAGAAAAAAACAACCTATGGTCATCAATGAATGAATGGATACAGATTTGTATATATACACACATACACACATACAAACTGTAATATCATTCATGCATAGAAAAAGAAGGAGACTTCCAGTAAAGATGGAGGCACAGGTAGATACACTGTGCCTCCTCGCACAACCAAAAGAAGGACAACAACAGATTTAAAAACAAAAAACAACCAGAAAGGCCAGAAAATAAAACTGTATGGAAGTCTGACAACCAAGGAGTTAAAGAAGAAATGTTCGCCCTGGCTGGCATAGCTCAGTGGATTGAGCATGGGCTGCGAACCAAAGTGTCGCAGGTTCAATTCCCAGTCAGGGTACATGTCTGGGTTGCAGGCCATGACCCCCAGCAACCGCACATTGATGTTTCTCTCTCTCCCACCCTTCCCTCTCTAAAAATAAATAAATAAAATCTTTAAAAAAAAAAAAAAGAAGAAGAAGAAATGTTCACCCAGACCGGTAACAGGGGCAGAGAGGGCTTGCAGCAAAGCAGCGGCTGGAGGACCAGGGCTGGCGAGGCAGCAGCTGGCAGACTGATCAGTCCCACATTCCCATGCAGATAAACTGGGAGGAACAACTGGGGAGTGAGACAGACTGTGCAACTTAGGGTTCCAGTGCGGGGGAATAAAGCTTCATAACCTCTGACTAAAAAAACCTGTAGGGGTTGCGGCAGCAGGAGAAACTCTCAGCCTCAAAGGAGAGGTTGTTGGAGAGACCCACAGGGTCCTACAATGTACACAAACCCACCCACCATGAACCAGCACCAGAAGGGCCCAATTTGCTTGTGGGTAGTGGGAGAAGTGACTGGAAGTGTGGTGAGAGCCCAGCAAGCAGCATTGTTCTCTCTCTGACCCCTCCCCCATATACAGTGCCACAAAGAACTGATGTGGGTTGCTCTGCCCTGGCAAATATCTAAGGTTCTGTCCCTTACTATGTAACAGGTGCACCAAGACAAAAAAAAAAAGTGCCCCAAATGAAAGAAGAGATCAAAGCTCC